CTTTCTTTCTTTCTTTCTTTCTTTCTTTCTTTCTTTCTTTCTTTCTTCTACGGATTCTGAAAGCAATTAGCACACATTGTTTCTGGAAAATTTAATAAGGCTATGAACCATGTGGAAGTGTATAGTCTAATTCAGTTTGAATCAACCCCTCTGGCAGTTCTGTTTCAGATTCATATATTACTGTTCATAAGCTCTTTGACTGTTTATTCCTTCCAGATATACAGAAGAGATTATACCTCAGCACCCTTGCCTGAAACTCGTTAGCAACTGTGAGCAGACGCTTTCCAACCACACATCAAGATACCTGATAACCATGGAAAAGGTGAAAGAATTTGAGGTAATTGTTTGGATGGGCTTTCATGCAAGGAAGGAGCTGTCAGCTTTCTCATGGGTTTTTCTACTGCACTGTTGTAAGGTGTTTACCATGCCAAGCTATATTTTAAAGCAAGTTTAGAAAGTTTATGAATGCTTATAAATATCAAAACAGAAAGCCAAAGTATTTAATGAACTTGAACACAGTCCAGGAAAGAAGTGTTTAGTTTCATTTCATTCTTTCTGAAGAATATCTGATGGGTTTTTTTTTAAGTCTCTCCCCCCCTGTTTTATTTTCTTCACTTTAATTTAATTTTCTTCATTTTACTTGCTTTAGTTAAGCGTGGCACATTAACTTAACTTAAAAGGTTATGAGTTTCCCCTATTCTCTGTAAGGGAGGTTAGTGATCACAATTTTGGAATATTTTGTGCAATGTGTCAGGGTGTCTCTTTGTTTGGATACATAGACCAGATCTGATTCTGATATTCATCTGAATTTATGGTCTTCCCTCACCCATTTTAAAAGCATGAAAGTCATCTGAAAGCAGCCTCTAGATAGAGTTTCTAGATACAGTTCCCCGGGCTGCTATATTAATGTGAATCTGAGCTGCTTTCAGCTCATACAATGAAACTTCAAAGAGAATAGAAGGGAAAGGAAGACACCATCCTTCTAGTGGATGTATTAGATTCATACAGTCCTCTGTCTGCACAATTCATGTGGAGAACATCATATGGAGACGTCATTACTAGACGTTGATTGTTACCAGCTTCCAGATTTCTTTTTCAAATTTAACATTATTAAAAGAGACCCAAAATTAATCAGAGCGAGAAACAATAAAAAAAATGCAGTTAAGACAAGTGAAAAATTATTTACATCTAATACATTTTGATCTATGCGTTACTGAGTAATCTCATTTAAGTAGACAAAGTAAAGCATTTTATTATTTTATGACAGGGCAATCCTCTCGATGTCTTCTCAAAAATCATTTCCCCTGACTTCATGATGAACTCTTTGGCAGCAGTTGTGATTTTTTAAATTGCAATTTCTGACATGAACTTTAAAAACTTTACCATAGCTTGGTAAAGTTATGCCATTTTTCTTGTGATCAGTAGCAAGACATCAACACTTGAAAATATACATGTGCACTCACGCACATATTCTAAGTACTGCATTACACAGTGCTCTATTAACAATAGCATTTGTTGCATTTTCCCCCTTTTTAGTTAGTATACCAAAAATTTAAGGAGCTTCTCCAGTTTTGAAAGGGATGGGAGTACCATAATTTTACATTGATAAAAATAAGCATACATACTGACAAAGAAATATTTTCTAACTATGATGTTGGAAAATTACTTGAAAAACCTTTAACCATAAAATAGCAAAAGGCTTACAAGAACTAGAATTTTTAAAAATTCTTTATTATCTGGACTGAGTATCTTGTTTGAAATGGTCTTTTCTGCTTCCTAGAATAATAATGCATTAGATGAATGTGTGCTATTATATTGCATAAATTACCTCTCAGAACCCAATTTTAAATAAATGTGTAACTCCGTACCAATAAATTAGCTTTGGTCATTTGGAATTTAAATTGCTTGCACTGCCAGCAAGAAAATACATAACTATCTTAAGAAAACAGGAAAAAATATTTTAAACACTTAGTCTGAAATAAATGGGTTTCCACGCTCAAGTGGAGCTTTAAGGTGAAAATTCACAAATATGTGATCTTTAAATAGCGAGATGTATGTATTACTTTTGCAGTTGTTAAAGGCAATATTGTCTTTAAATTATTGGTTTGAACTGTAAGATATTTTCATGTCCTAACAGTGTATGTGAAAACATTATTGTTGCATATATAGCTAATGTAATAGGAGCGTATTAGTCACACTCCGGTAGCTTGTTTTTAAATCATAACTTAACATGTTAATAAAAACCCCATGAAAAATCTTAAAAGTCTGTTAACCAGTCACATTTCAGAGATTAAGATTTGGTTTTACAATTTAAGACAAATAAATAAATAAAGATTTAAGAAATTTGAAGAAATCCTTCAACCTCCAGTGGATAAAAATAGCATTAGACTTGACAGGTGTCGATGCAGTAATCCAAAGGAACAGGATCATAATATTTTATTTTTACTGTGATGATTGTGTCATCTAAACATCTTCCGTGTGTTGATGCATCCCCATCCAGCCTCTAATCCAGCCTCTAATTGTATTTGACCAGCATATCAGTTGTAACCTTATGTTAGTGATATAGGATAAACATTTATGTTTGTTAGAATTAGTAGCATTTTACTGTAACATTAGGGTGTGCATTCTTGTGATAATGTATATTTTAAGCAAATTGTTGAAAATGTTATTCATATTAGTACGGTTCAGATCACTATGTACAAGAACTTATTATTAAGGGAGCAAATGCATTAAAAGAATGTTTGTTAGATAGGTTGAATCTTTATGCCCTGTATTCCCAAAGATTTATTTGCATTATCTTTATTCAGTTAACTTTAAATTTCTCAACATATGAGTTCTTTCAGAAGTTGAATACCTCTGCATTTGGAAACGAAAATGTACATTTGTAGTTTTGGCTACTCCTATGAGCTTTGTGTTTGCAGAGTAAAATACATGCTAAAAGCACCTATTTGTTAACTACTTTTATTTGCTTAAGGACTGTTATCTCAAGCAATCTTCCTATATAAATCTATCTATCTATCTATCTATCTATCTATCTATCTATCTATCTATCTTTCTTTCTTTCTTTCTTTCTTTCTTTCTTTCTTTCTTTCTCTCTCTCTCTCTCTCTCTCTCTCTCTCTCTCTCTCTCTCTCTCTCTCAAACAATAATTTATTAAATTGAGGCCAATGTCTTCAGATATGCAGTGTCCCCAGCATAACTTTATAAGCATGCACTAATCTGCTTGGTTGGGACAATGCTTCACACTAACAGGCACTTACATTTTCATTACTCGTTTACTAATAGAATTAATTCTGCCTTGCATTTTGACTCACATTAAAGACTCTTCACAGCAACAAATAATGCACAAAGTAAGGAAACTCCATCAGCAGGACATTAAAACAACTGAACTAGCATGTAAAATGCAGGAAGCATCATAGGTCTCATTAAATCTCTGGAGTAGGGTAGAATGCGGTGTCAATTAAAACAACTGTTTTACATCTAATTCATATATCTTGAAATATCATGCATGCAAGTCCTGTCATAATTAGAATGATTGGCAGGTGTGATCATGCCTAATCCATTTTGTTGTTGATACTGTTGATACTGTCATCATCATCACCAGCTGATCTTTGAAGAAATCAGCAACCAAGTATTTAGAAAAATGAAGGGTAGGGTAAGAATTAGTATTGTTGCCCTAGTTTAGCAGTTTGAGCTCTTCTAGGATTTCAAGACATAGCAAAGCGTGCTTCATGTCTTCACATTGTCTTTTAATCCCATATAGGAGGACGACAAAAATTCTCACATATTGGATAGCCAGTATCTGCAGTACAAATGTCATGATTCCTTTCGTGAGAAATATTTCAGTGGAGTGACGAAGAGGATTGCCAAGGAAAAAAAAGACAGCCAAAAGTAATCTGTTTGGAAAGGAAAAAATGAAAGCAAGGAATGCACAAGGCTTGTATTTGGCTATTAAAACATCTGGACCTCTACATTATGTAGAAGCTTCAGAGAACAAATACTGTTTTAATTTTTTTTTTAACTCAAAGCAAAAACCACAACATAAGTGAAGGACAGTTCTTTTTCATTAACTTTTGTTTATACCAGATTATTGCACAAGATTTTTTTTGACCTTTATTTAATTTATTTTAGGACTTTGAGTTCTAATGATAATTGATTACAACCTTTATCACTATTAGCCTTTCAGTCTGTTACCTCTAGCAAAAATAAAGACTATTGTTTGGCTTTTTTTAGCTGTGAACATCTGGAAGTCTTAGGAATAATACAATGGTATTTTGGTTTTAATTTTTTTTTTTACTATTGTGAACATCTATTTCATTTTCCTTTATTCTTTTGTAACTGCCATACAATAAATTCAGAAAAGTTTGTTCTGAATTTTAAAATTATGTTGTCTGTTGCAGCAATTATCATTTCTTACCGCCATTTCTAGAGCCAATACGAACCCCTCCTTCCTGCCAAGGATCCAGTTTGGTATTATACATCTGAAGCTCATCTGTATCTTGGATTTACTGTCACTTTAAATAAGCCCTGGTGTTGCTGGTTTTGGTATTTGTGTTGCTATCTTTTAAAATGATTGTAATGATTGATGTTTTTTCCCCTTTTGTTTGTTAATCAGTTTTATGTCACTGTAGGAAGGCAGGTTGTGACTATTAGAATTAATGAAGTCTCCTTCTACTAACTGATCTATGCCAAATTTGTTTCCTCTGTTCTTTCTTAAATATCAATAATTGACATCTGCCCTTATTTGCGTAACTTCTAGCTTGGATTTTTAAGACATTCAACACTCATGTTTGGCATTTCTACATTTGTGATTATCATAAACTTGTTAAAGGATTTTTGTTTTTAGTAATGGGTTTTGTGATAAGTTCATAATATTGTGTTAAGCTTCTCAGAAATTATGTAAATTAAAAAACAGTAACTTTTTACAAAACACAAATACTGGATGCAGTGGAAATAGGTAAGAATAAGAAATGGGAGGGAAAAATCACATTCTGTTGCTGCCAAACGCCTGGTGAATAAAATGGTTATATAGCTCTTCTAAAATTAAATAATGAGGAGATTGCCACTTGAGGATTTTTTTTTTCCAAAACAGCAGCACCACTGCTGAGAAAATCCTCTCCCCATCTCCACTTCTCTCTACACATACAATTAGTTTCTAAAACCAGAAGATACCTGAGACAAGGCCGCCTCCTTACAAGTTCTGTATGACCTCTTGTCTCTCTCAAAGATGGATTGGCTTTTTCCTTGCCAGAAATGGGTCATTTGCTTTGGCAGCAACAGATTGTTTTGGCTCCTAAGAGCCAAGCTGACTCCAAGTTATGTTAAATTCCAGTCTCTTGCCCCTGGCAGAGACAGTTGATTTAAAAGCCTGTTCTGATGGTGCTTTGGAGTGCTTCGAATCCCCTCCCGCCCTTCTCTCCCCCCCCCCCCAAGTATTTAAGACATTATTTTGGACTATTATTTTGTTCCCTGACACTTCTTCCATTGCCACAGGAGGCAAGAAGACCAGGAATGCTATGTTATTTCGTTTGTAACAAGGCAATGTATATATCACTATATACACTGTACCTACAGTGTATAGTGTTCCAATATTTGAGGGACTGCCACAAAGAAGAGGGTATCAGCCCATTCTCTAAAGCACCTGAAGGCAGGACAAGAAGCAATGAATGGAGACTAATCAAGAAAAGAACCAACCTAGAACTAAGGAGAACTTTCTTGACTGTGCGAAAAATTAATGAGTGGACAGCTTGCTTCCGGAAGTTGTGGTGCTCTGTCACTTGAGATTTTTAAGAAGAGATTGAACAGCCACTTGTCTGAAATGCTTGGCCAGTGGTTGAATGAGAAGTCCTCCAAGGTCCCTTCCAATTCTGTTATTCTGTTACTTGGTTGATATGAGATTGCTCTGCTTCACCCTCTTGTGAAGTTGCTCACCATCCATTTATGTTTAGTCATCACCTTTGAAGATGGATCTGGTGGACCTGCGTATGTCCTGCTGTATTCTCAGACACAAGCAATTTTCTTTAGTAACAAACCTTTCTAATGCTGAAAAGCCAGTGGGTTGAGGAAGAAAAGTAGCTATTTATGATGCTGATTTACATTCTTCTGCTCAGGTTATCGATGTACTACTAAACTATTTGTAACTTTCAATTGGGCAACATAGGGCAACAGTTTTTGAATCAAAGAACCTCAAATGGGCTAACTTAAAAAATGTGTCCAAAATCCAGGATTCATTACTCTCAAGTAATTGAAAACTCAAGATTCTTCACACAAGTTGTATATCCAAAGTGGTGGCTCCTACAGTATCACCAGGGTTAGCCGCAATCATAATATTGACTATGCTTTCAGAACTGCAGAGGTTGTATGTCACAAGGAAAGGTGGGAGGGACATATCCCCATTCTCTTTCCTACCTCCGCCTGGTCCCTGTGCCCAATCAGGTGGCGGCAAAACTCAATGAGTGAACAGTGATTGGCTGCCTTGGAACCAAGGCCAAAAAAATGGAAATCTCTTAGTGGCGGTAGGTGGTGAGAGAAAGACAAGAGAATGACTCTGATGCCTCCTGGTGAGGTAAGGCTGACAGGGTGATGGTAGCTGTTGACAAAGTGAGCCTTCTTTCTGGTGGGAGGGGATCCTTGGGATGGAGAGAAGGGGATGCAATTTTCCTTACAGTCCATGTCTCCTTTTTCCCTCTTCCCACAGAAAAGTGACGGGCAATTTTGCGGATCAACAGAGGAGGAAGAGGCAGCTTCACCAGGGCTCTGCTGAAAGTCATGAGGAGAGGGGAAATGGTGCCAGCCTTTATTATATTTGTAAAAAAGATGATAGGTTTTTTAGTTTTATATGGAAACCCCAGCACTTCAATCCTGAATTTTTCAGGTTTAAAAATTAAAATGATTGTATCACCAGTGATGTATTAGATTACCTTTTTTAATATGCTTACAGCTTCCAAAAGCTGGGAAGAAAAAACAAGTTATGTATTTTATAAAGCAAAGTGGAGACTCTGTTACCTGCCTTTCAGGAATATATATTTTCATTAAACTCTTCTTTTTCCACATTTCAGAAGTTTCCATAGACAATATTTCATCAGCTGCTCCTAATTTCTTTGACTTGAAGAGACAATTTGAAACTATCTCTTGAAACTAAACAGAAACTTACTGCTTGAGAAGCAGATGTAGAAATAGTAAAGTTCTGGATTTGACTAGCTTTGCTATGAACTAAAAAAAAATCTCATTTATCATGCTGTTCCTTTCTTTAGAAGGAACGTTATACAAAGTACAGAACATAGCTACTAAGCAAAATATATTAAAGGAAAATAAGACAAAAGAAAAGCAAAATGACCAAAGCTAATTTATACTAACACCATTGAATCTGTCATTCTGTAGCTTTCTCTTTGTTAACCATTCTTGCTTTATCACATTCATATAAATAGATTTTTATTTCTGGATCCACATTCCTCATTACATCAAATTAGCATGTACCGAATACAAGTGCCCACATATTTAATCTCCCAAATTGGTACACCTGCAGTGTCATACATTACTGTTTTCTCTTATGCAATCCCAGTAACAGTTCATGTCATCTAATAGAATATATTTTTTTATGAATTATATTCATGCGGCATTCTGCACAATTTCATTGGAATGTAACATGCAATTTTCACTAACCATTTGATAAGTCCTATTTTCACAACAATTTATACACTTTTCTGGAACGAATTCATCAGTTATGTAAAATCATTCTTCATCCCGGTTAATCATATCCTTCTCTTTTTGTTAGTTTTGCAAATGCATAAAACTTTCATCTATTCACATTCTTAACTATTTGGTCCTCTATTTTCCAAATTTTCTGCCAAACTGAAAAATGCCTGCTCTTTCATGATCTGCTGTGGCTTCTTTGATAGTTCTTTCTATTGAAACCTACATGCCAGCATGTAGGGCAGGGGTCTCCAACCTTGGCAACTTTAAGACTTGTGGACTTCAACTCCAAGAATTCCTCAGCCACCTTCTCTGCAACAATGACCTGGGTAATTGATTGCAGAGAAAAAATTTTGACCTTGAAAGTTGCATGTAGCTTCTTTTTGTTTCAGGGCATTTCATCCTTCTAGAATTTACCGAAGAATAGTTTGACAATAGTCACAATTGGTATTATTCAAACTAGTTGGGGCTAATGCAGGTTAAAGGCCCATATATCTGAAGGGAGCAGGTTATCTGTCTCTAAAAGACTAAAGTCACAAGAGCATGAGGGTGTTTTTTTTAATAACCCCTAAAATTGGGTTTTTGTTGTTTTTAATGTTGTAATGTGTTTAGTTTTATAGTTTTACTGTAGTTTTATATACTGCTTTGACTTATTTGGGAGCTTCCCAGAGTTGGTTAGCAGATGGGCCGCCAGATAAAGATTTTAAATAAAACAGTTCTGTTTTTAGATATATTCAGACTTTTGGTTTGATGATAAATGGTTAATCTAGTTAAGGTTAAGGAAAGAGAGCAAAATGTAGCATTGCTTATATGTTCCATATAGGAGCAATACGGGGAAAAATGAGTTGGCATCATAAAGACAGCAGAAGCTTCAGGATGTTCTACAAAATCTACATGATAATATTGGAGTAAATTGTAGACCACGGTGATTAAAAGCTATAGCAGCACTGTTAATTCTCTCTTCTAACATTGTACTTTTGGCATTTTTTGAATAGGAGGGAGAGGAAACATGCTATAGCTCAATGTCTGTGGAGATTCTCAGTCATCTGGATCATAGTTATCTCGAGAATGGTTTTGTTTGTCTTCATGAGGCAAAGTGGACCTTTTGTCCTTGTGGAGGAAGAAGAAAACATTTCACTTCTCATCCAAGAACCTTCATCAGTTTCAATGGCTGGGGGATAGAAAGCTAGGTACTGCCGTTGAGACTGGGTGATAGGGGGATGGATAGGATAGTAGAGGGGACAGATGGATGGATGGATGGATGGATGGATGGATGGATAGATAGATAGATAGATAGATAGATAGATAGATAGATAGATAGATAGATAGATAGATAG